CACTACATTTTCTCGGCTGCCTACTGTTTAAAAGGCTTTGATTTCAAAGAGTTCGGGCTTATAAATGACCAGAGTGTTGCGCGGTAATTGGAAGGTGTATGGTATATTACTAGTAGAAACTACCGAAGTTTAATCAGGCCCCAAATTAAACTTTGGAATATGAGTGTTTAAACGTTACCATATAAAAAAGTACATTGCAATATCTTTTATTTATCAAAGTATTACATACAAAATCGTACAAGTTTCGGTTTTATTCTCGCTTAATTATAATCGCGTTTAAATGTAAGCTTGGGGGGCCTCATAGCCTAGCGGTCTTATTAAGTGGCAGCTAGGTGAGGGGTACCGGGTTCGATTCCCGGTTCGAGGGCAAGTTTTAATTTAATTTAAATTTGTTCTCGGCCTTTGGGAGGGTTGTGCGGTACACGGTCGAATTTCTAAAAGACAAGCACTAATTATAAAAATCCTATACTCGACGCTGGCTAATGCACAAATCGTGCCAGAGCCATATAAAAAAATGTTAGCTTTGGTATTTCATATAGCAAAGAGGTTGTTAATATTATTTGACAATTGACATTATTACTTTAGACTTACTAAAAATATTAATTATTCATATAGACTATAATTCGCTATTTACCGCGGCCGATCAAATATAGCAAATACGAAAATCTAGGGTCGAATACAAATTAAATTAACATTATTTTATGCAGGGCAGTTTCACGATTGCCGACGTAATGAAGCTCATTTAATATTTTGTGCAAACGCTCGTCATTCATTTCATAGCAGGTGGCAGAATGTTCCAATTGCATTATGCTTTTCGGCATCGGTTTTTGGGTCGCAAGAATTAGGGACGGACATGATTTCGTGTCCGTACTAATTTTCGTTTACCGCCTCCATCTTACATCCAATTCTAATCGTAGATTGTTGTAACACTCCAATTGGGCATGGGTAATTTTTGCGTTTGTTCCAACGATTATTTTTCAAGTCTCAGCCTTCGGTGACGTACCTACCTATGTGTTTTGGGTATAAGGGTGAAACTCAGAGTCGAGACTTCGCGGCAACTATGTCTCACGTCATTTAATGTTTTTGACATATTGGGTTTAAATACTCATACTTACCCCTTGGCCACAGTCACCTGCGGCGCGGTTTGCGGCGCGCAAAGCGGCGCGCAAAGCGGCGAGCGGCAAAAACAAATTGAGAAAATTGTATGAAGTATGCCACAGCTATCGGCGACGCGCATTGCGGTGCGACCTGCGGCGCGGTGGCACCCGCGCGGTGGCGGCGGCGGGGTCTGCGCGGCGTGCGAGTGAATCAAATGCACTCAAGAGTATCGAGGCGGCCACAGCTAAGAGCGGCGCGCACCGCGGCATTGGTGGACGCATTTAGCATCGCGCACCAAAACAAATAATTTTGTTTTTATCGCGCATTGAGCTCATATAAAATAATGGATACAAAACGATTTATTAGTGAAATACTAGTAGACCAGCAATATGGATGTCAAAACATCCACATCATAAATATAGGCATGTTATAAAAAAATTGTGGGACGACTAATAAAACTAACTAATATACTCTAAATATTGGCGCCGCGGTCGCAACTGGTGAGCTGTGGCATACCACCGCAAACCGCGCCTTGCAGACCCTCTTGCCGCGCCGCGCTCCACACCGCCAGAAACTGGCCAAGCTCTTAGCGCTAAGTGTAGAATCGGAATCTTAGCCTAAGATGCAAGTAAGTTGAAATATAATAATAGTCGGATACAATTGTATAAATCAATATGAGATATATTGATCGTCTCGACTTCTCAGTGAAATAATAATTGGAACTTCCTTATTAAAATAGTATGAGAAAATACGCGAAAATACTTTGTGAAATCTTATGTTAAATAAAAACTTATTCTAATTAATTCTTGGATAATATTTAACATTTGCTACAAAGATATTTAAATACTCACTCATTGTAAGACAGCTTTTGTTCTTATAATACTATGGTACAACAATTTATTTAACATTCTAGTTATTAAGTTCATATAATTAGTAATAATGCAGCCAAAAAGTAAAGATTTAGGTATTGTCCCTAGAATACCCGTTGCCCTACCGAGAACTAATTAAACGGCGAAAAAATGTAAAATGGCGCCTCATTTTATATTTTATTATGTGTATAATGGTAAGGTGACCAACTATTTTTTGTTCAAAAAGAGTACACTTTGCAAGTATTTCATAGGTGAAAAAAAAAGATGAAAAAACGTTAAAAACTTTATTTAGTTTTAAAAACATATTTTTCAAGAAAAATATGTTTTTAGGCAAATGACGATGTTCGGCTAATAATGTAGCCACATCCGAACAACTTTTATTTTCCATATTAAATTAGTTAAGACGGCAGATAATGTTTTAACAGAAAGTTGCGACTTCTCACTGCTCCAATAATCATTTCCTGGTGAAAATATCCTTTCAACAGCAGCATTAGTGCCTGGACAACATAAGGAAACTTCTAATAAAACTTTTAAATTTTCATGTGGGATATGTTCTACTCTAAAATGCCGAAAGACTTTTACCCATCTTTTGTCAAGTTCTATTTTCTCATCGTTCCATTTCTCCAATTTTTCTTCATTTAAATATAAATTTACTCTTCGAATTTCTTCAAAGAGAAAATTGTCATTAATTGTAACAATATCTTTTACTTCCTTCATTACAAATTCGACTGCTGAAGAAACATCATTCCATTCAATTTTACTATTTAGAAGGGTCCATTTGAAGCAATTTAATGCTCTAAAGTTCACTATCCAGTCTTCGATATATTCATAGCAAATTTTATAAAAAAAATTAACTTCTTTTAAAAATTCATTTTTTATTCCGGATTGGAATCTTCCAAAACGGTCAGTTTATTCTTTAGAATTAGTGGTAAAAATCCATCATTAAATCTTGATTTCCATTGCAGTATGAAATCGTTTAATATAATACAAACTTCTGCTGCTGAAATTTTATCTCCTTAAATTTGTAGAGTAATTTTATGAAACAACGACGCCTGACTGTGAATAAAATAAAGCATAGGTTCTGACATATCGTTTTGAAAGAATTTCTTCAAAATTGTAGGACATTTGTCAAGGCTTAAAAAATATGAACGTAGTGGGTCATATAACTGCAAAACGCGTTCTAATGCTGAAGTTAAAGCAAGCCATCTGACTTTGGAATAACCAAGCAGTTTTTTGTATTGAACACCAGCCTCTTCACAAAATTCTTTCAAACTTGCTACCCGTACTGTAAACCGATAGAAATATAAATATATATTTGTAATAATTACTTCAACATCTATTGACATTGAACTTGATGCTGTATTGATGGCATTTGATATAATGTGAGCATTACAACCAATTCCCAAAATATTTCGTTTCAGAAGATCTTATAATTTTGTGTACACATTATTGACACCTTTACGGGTGCGTCCTCCAAAATTAGTATTTGTGTTATCAGCCGAGAGCGCCAAAATTTTCTTATTCAAATTGTTGTCTGTTATAACTCGAAATAAGTGATTAGACAAAATGTCTGATGTTTCCCCTTCGATTGATTCCAAATTTAAAATCTTAATTTGAATACCATTCTTAATATCAAAATATCTTACTAAAATTGGATAAAGTTTTATTTCATTATGATTCGATGCGTCTGATATAATGATACAGAATCCAGATTTTCTATACGTTACGATAGACACATTTTGTTCGCGCACATGAAAATTTTTCACAAAATCTTTTTAATAATTTAGTAGTGCAGTCCATGCTGCGAAAACTTTGATTATGGATTATTGTGTGAAAAGAGAAAGTACCCGCCATAACTGCCAATTTTTTTTTCATTAGTTCCAAAAGTATTCCCTTTAAAAAATGTTGTCAGTTTGGAAGTTGACGCTGCTGTGTCATGAGACGTTTTATGTACTTTAGTTTCAATGTGTGCCGTTATTGCACTACGTCCATGAATTGTTGTTTTAGAAATACGAGTACAAATGAGTATAGAATTATACAAATGAGTACTTTCAGAGTACAGGATTTGAAAAGAGTACGGTTTGCGAAAAAAGAGTACGGTTTGCGAAAAAAAGAGTACAAAACTCAGTAAATGAGTACAGTTGGTCACCTTAATAATGGAGCATGTAAATTGAGAGCCACTTATGTAATAAACGCTTGAAGGTGAAAATGTAAATCCTTCTTATGGTGAACCGGAGAAAGAATTTTAAAGAATCCAGAGGCCTTACGTACTGCTTAAAGATTTGAGAGCACTTATTGCGTCCTACTTGCCATTCTGTCCTATTTTACCTCTGGAGATTAATCATAGCACTGTTACATATGGAAGTAGTATCAACTACCGTTAAAAAGATCTATTTAAAGTCTCTTTCTATTCTCTATTATGAAAATAAATAGTTTATGTTATATAACAAAATATTCAGTAACTATGTCTATAAGAGGACCGTCAGTATTAAATGTATTTAATATTTACCTGATGAACACCACGGTACACTGTAATTTTGTGACATTCTTAAATTTCGGAATAGTTTAATCTCAATAAAAGTAATTTTAGACCCGTAGACTTCGAATAAAAGCATTTGTGTACAAATTTGACATATGCTATATTTCCCGCCATTTCGTTACTAAAGATTTTTTTGTTCTAATTTTAAGTCTTGGTTTATTGTCAATGGTCAAACGAATAATTATACTGACATAGATTCTAAAATGTTCCTTTTTTGAATTCGAATATTGTCTAATAGTCTGTTAGTAATAATAATATAATCGATGGAATTATGTATTATATTTCCTCGGTTTTTGACGAAATAAACTTCTAAACTGAAAAAATTGTGTCACGAGTAAACAAATAACCGTACACTAAAAATCTATTAACCTTGTTTTCCAAAGATTTCTTACCCCAGTAATTATTTTGTTTCGCATTTTAAAATGGAAATATTGATTTCACGGCGAAGGTTTTAAATGAAATACACCGATAGAAGTGGAACAGTTTTTTTAGTCATGTTCGTAGCTGCAGTTGTTTTTTACGTTTTATCGCGGGCTGTAGCTCAGGAGCAGGCCCTTAGCACTGACCGCCCCCATTCTGCCTCGATGCCATTCCTTGACTTATTTACGGGCGCTTCCAACTATTATCCCGATATAAGAAAAACATATTCTGATTCCGGTTATTACCATGGCTCGTGCCAAAAGACAGATACCCTATCGTCGTTTGCCAGTCTTTTAGGAAGTGCTGCCAAAATAATGCTCTCGGCGACAGTCATTGTGTTATTAAAGCTTCTTGGTGGGAAACTTTTGCTTTTACCGCTAAGTGTTATGGTGTTCGCGAAGTTGGGGCTGAAAGCGGTGTTGTTGTGGCCAGTAATTTCGAAAATGATGAAATATTTTAAGAAGAAAAGGAAGAAAAGCAAGTCAAGGTTAATCATGGATTGCACAGATAGGGTGGCGTGTGTTATACAGCGGTCTTATAAGAGTGGTTTCGGTAGTAATTTCGGGACGGCGGTAACATTTTCAATTATAGACGACGTTGAAGAAGATAGTCCGATTGCGAAAATATTACTCAGCATTCTCGCTGGGGACAAGGTCGCGGAATGTATGTCAATGGACTGCAACTCAGGAATCGATATAAGCTGACACGTAAATAAACATTGACTGCGCTTGTATTTCGACTCGGTTCGTGTTTCCATGAAAATTATGTATTATAATGAGTGATATTATTGAATTTAAAATTAATATCAGTCAAAACTATTATCTGGGTTAATTAAATGCGGCCGGGTTATATAGTTATTGGAAATGTTTGATGTGTAATTTTAATTATTATATCACTTATAGGAATAAATAATAATTATTAATAAAATATTTACTTTTATACTTATGAATATAATCAAATGCAATATTTACTTGAGAGTAGTGTTTAAACAAACATACAGCTAGAAAATCTTATTAGTGTGTTAAAATTGTTTACATTACAAAATTATTTTCTAATTTAAGTGAGTGTTCGAAACAAAATGTTTTATTTTATTGCGATTGTAAGGGTGTTGTAACACAAAATGGGTCTCGTGAGTACTTTGAAAGTATTTTTTATACTGGCTAATATCTTAACAATCTGTGCTAATGGAGATACGGGGAACATACCATTAGATATGCAGACTTTATCACGAGATAATGAAAGGCAAGCATCTATGTATCCAAACACCATTTACTACCCAAATATGTACACAAATTATCCGCAAGAATGGACTCAAGCAAGGGCGGCACCAGAAACAGAAAGTAAGTGGAACTTTCAAGAATCTTTAAGTGATGAGGAAAAATCGCGGAGCGCATCAAAGTTCGCACCACTTACATACTCAAAACCTTTATATAAACCGAACTTGCCGTGGTCTGCCAACATTTACCACGGGCCTAACTTAGAGGCGGATTTAATAAAACCAAAGTTCGGATTGTTGGAGCCAAGTTTAAAGCTGAATAAGTTGGGTAGCTTGTTGAATTTTGGCCTCGCGTTGCTTGGCGGCTCCGGTTTTAAAGATACCCTGATTAACAATATCCTCAGACCGCTGCTGGCATCGAAGGGGGCCTTGAAGACTTTCATTGGGAAGCTCTCGATTCCGGTTGTGGCCTTGATTCTTGTTAATGTAGAGGTTCTGTTCGTCGTTTGGTGGTTATGGGAGGATTGTACTGAACAAACACTCGACACTGTGACTCCATTTTCCTCTCAAGCAACAGTCAGTAATTTTAGTACATCCAAGCAAGTTCAATAACCCAGTTTAGAAGTACGAAAGAATCAGTTATTTGTTTTCAAGTAGCGATGATTTAATGTTGTTAGGGCAAAATGTTTGTACAAAAGTTTTGAATTGGTTGTGTAAATATATTTAGGCATAGAATATAATGTTTGTAGATTATAAAATATATTTCCAATATTGTTGTTTTATTATACATAATATACTTATAAATGTGAAAATTTTTCATCTAAATAAGCTCTCGCTAAGTTAAACATTTCCTTTTACATTTTACACTATGTAATTATCGGTTATTCGTTCAATGTAAAAAAAATTATGTATGCGCTGGCATACTAAGACACCCTAATAATGCTAAAATACTAAGTAACTTACTTCTTAACTGAAATTGAAATTTACAATTTTAAAGGCAATGCTTAAACATATGCAAATATTGTATTTCATATAAATAATAATAACGATAACGATTCTAAATATACAGTTTAGATTCGTTATATAAATTTTTTCTTGTTATCCTTATATCCTAACTTCCTTCAGTACCACTGATCGATACCCCTTTATGGCTTTATTTCTCCATTCACTTCCTGATAACGCTTCTATATATCCACTTTTTTTAGGGCGCATATATTGTATGGTAATTTAACTTTGGCATTCTTGTAATATCTATTCTAATTTAGAGAACGTATCCGATAGGTATATAACTAACTAAAGATACACCTTTAAAGAAAATCTTTTAACCGGATTAAAGTTATGTAAATTACAATTATTTAACATAATTTTAAATTTATCCGACGTTTCGGATAAATGTGTAGAGGTTATGTCAATAAAAGACAATACTAAAGATACACCTTCGTATAACTAATAGAGCATAACAGTTTTCCTCGACCTTACATGAAGCAATAGACAGAGCAAATAATGGAATTAGGCGACAGGTGTCTGCATTCGTTATCCACGATGCCCTATTACCCCTAATTGGGTAATGGACTTGAATATTACCTTATTCAATAAATTGACGACCTAACTCTTACTGGGGCGGGAAATTCGATAATGCGTGGGCTAAACTGCTTGTTGGGAAAAATAAAATTAAGTTTCAGCCCTCAATCAGTAATTACCAACTCATAACGTTCTATTGCGCTTGATAAATTTGACGTAGTTATCAGATATTCTAGACAATGTATGTAACATATGTCCATAACATGTACGTATGTCAGTAAAATAATTTCTAGCAAACTATGGAATCGTCTGCCTGTGGTCTTTGGGTGAAAAAAATAAATCAGTGGCGCTACAACCTCTTTAGGTCTGGGCCTCAGATTTCTGAATCTGTTTCATGATCATTTTTCAATCTAATAGGCAAGTAGGTGATCAGTCTCCTGTGCCTGTCACACGCTGTCGATTTTGGGGTCAAAGACATGTCGGTTTCCTCACGATGTTTTTTTTTTTATAGAACGGGGGGCAAACGGGCAGGAGGCTCACCTGATGTTAAGTGATACCGTCGCCCATGGACTTTCTCAATGCCAGAGGGCTCGCGAGTGCGTTGCCGGCCTTTTAAGAATTGGTACGCTCTTTTCTTGAAGGACCCTAAGTCGAATTGGTTCGGAAATACTTCAGTGGGCAGCTGGTTTGAGCGACCGTTTGAGCGAATGTTAAATGCGCACATATAAATAAAGTCCGTTGGTACACAGCCGGGGATCGAACCTACGACTTCAGGGATGAGAGTCGCACTGAAGCCACTAAAAAAACAAAAAGGCCAACTGCTCATTGGTCTTTGGGTGATATGCCCTCCAATTTTAAAAAGGGTATAATCCTACGCCCACCTAAACGGGTGACCATGGGCGTAGGCACGTGAAATGTACTGATGCAATTATTAAACAGTGACTTCACTCAGTAGCACAGGGAAGTGAGTTATTACATTGAAAGGCGAGGTGTTAGCTTCCTCTAGTCTGCGTGCCTTTAAACCTGTGGAAAAAAAAATAGTCCGTTCCATAGTTTTAAAAATACGTGCAATTGCGAGTATTTTATTAGAGGAAAGGATTTGTGGAGTTACTTTTTAAAAAGACGTGCAATAGAAATGCGAGTATATTCTTTGAAGAATTTCTGAAAGTTAATTTTTATTTATTTATATTCATGGTACATTTGTATATATATTTCAATAGTGTTTCAATTGAAAACCTAGATTAAAAAGCTTCACTTAATAGTGTTATTATCGTAGTTTCTTAGCAAAGAGTAATTTCTGTATTCAAGAATAGCAATGTTTCGCCTATTCATGGACTAATTGAGTTGTTGGAGGGCGATTTATAATTTCAAAAATGGAATAGCGTTCGTTAAGTCGTGTAAACCTCATTATTTCCAGGCTGTTAAACGAGGCGACCTCCCAGGGAGGTAGCGTAAATCAATTCCCGTTAGGTTTTGTACCGAATTTTTGTATTAGGCAGATGACTTCGGTTGCAAGAATTTAAGAGAAAAGTATTAAAAATACCATATCTATACAAAATATATAATGCAGGAATTTTAGCGATTGCTTAAAGCAATAGATATAAAATTTACATTATAAAAATTGTGACGCCATCAAACAACTCAGGTTGAAACTATATAAACTAAACTTTCGCTATTCATGCGTGGATTTAGCTGAAATATTATTAATTCGATGTTCGTGTCACTTTACAATACAATGTGTAAATTGCTGACACATTGAACACAACACGAAACGTACATAAGTGTGTTAGGGATTATGAAGCTAACATAACATAATATTATATAATGGATGGACTGTTTCGAAGTAAACAGTCTAAGACTGCTTAAGCTGTTACTTCAAAACAATTAAAAATATATACTTGCCTAGCCTAACCTAATAATTATCCAAAAATTCCAGTGCATTATGAAAAGCTCTTGACCGGAGTGTGTCAATATTAAAACATAATGTTGCAAACATTTTATATGGAAAGATAGCGAAGCATTCGTGTATTTGATGTTTGACCTGGTTACAGCTGTTGTCAAGCATGATTATTAAGCCTTGTTAGACGCAGGTAGTTGGGACAACTGTAATGATGTGGACGTTTGCGGGATCTAATGGGCAATAATGTTTTGAAGAGGCACTCCGTGAACATAGCGCCGGAGAGCGCCGCAGAGAACTGCGCGCGGCTGCGACGTCGATACGCGCACTGACGTGACGTCGCCGCGGAAGTCCCGCAGGCGCACTGCACCCGTCTCCCTTGTCCTCCACCGCGGACGGCTGGGACGCACGTCACCTCGTCCTCTCGCTGTGTATCGAGGCCCATTACGCGATACTATATTTCATACGATGCAACTCCGTTTCTACATATAATAAGTGGATTCTACCTCGACTTAATTACTTTGTGTTTATCGTTGTAAATATTAGTTTTTGGTGAAAACAAACATCGCAAAGTGAAATTAGCGCAGGCGCGAAGACATGAATAAAGCGGCCATCTTGCTCGAGGACGCACTTTCGCCTCGCCCTAGAAGATTTTAAACAGCCAAAACATAACAGCGAAGGGATGGCATGCGGCCCAGAGAGGAGAATGTGGACCCTCTGAGAGCGCAGCGCGTCGCGCTATCGATCGGACGGAGCGCGATGGCGCTCGCGAAGTGAATGCGGATTTCGGGATCGCGTTCATCTCGCGTAGGAACAGAGTATCGGTCTCGTGAGAGTGTCCAAGAGTGCGGGCGGTATGTGAGGCGGCTCGGGGCGATAGGGCGGCGGGCCCGGGCGGCCGCGCGCCATGGGCGACGAGTACGCGCGTTCCCCGTGCGAACGGTTCCCGGCGGGCGGCGCGTTCAGCGTGGCTCCACCGGAGAGGCTCAGCCCGCCGCCGCCCGCGCCGTTGCCGGACCGGTTTTCGGCGTCGCCGCGGCGGGTGCGCCGGAGTGCGGAAGCGGAGCGGGCACGGAGGCCCCGGTACGTGCCTCCGGCGGCCCACGTGCCCGTCGAGCGCTACGTGCCCCGGCCGCCAGCCCCAGTGCGGGCACCGCCGCCGGTGTATTGTGGGTTAGCGTGTCGGGCACCGCCGCCTGCCAGCCGCAAGTGCTGTGGGCCGGCGTGTCGCGAAGATTTGGGAAACTCGCCGCCACCGCGATATGTGGAGTACGTAGGAGCAGCGGCGGCGCGGCGGTTGGCCTGTACGCCGCCGCCGCCACCACCGCCTGCGCTACAGCTCTGTGATCCACAGGAGCCTCCTTGTTGTGCACAAGCGAGGAGAAGAAATCAAGCACACGACTGGTGAGTATTCTATTTACCATTGGATAAAATATTATACCAGAAAAAGGTAATAACGAGCATATAAAAGAATAGCCCTTCCTAGTGATCGCGTATATTGCCTGTCTATTATTTTAAACCAAGGAATATAAAAAAAACAAAAGAAGAATGACTGTAAACAATTAATCGAACCTTGTTACTTAAATTATTCCTAAACAAATATTGTATGACAAAACCCAATCACAGTGAACATGGTTTCGATTTTTGCAAGCCCCGATCGCTATAAAATAAATTAAACGTAGAGATGAAAGGGTCATAACGACACATGCCGACGGCGAATTGTTCTAATTGGCCAATATTTTATGGTTGGAAATGATAACGTATGATTGATGAGTTGGCTTTTCCTAACGAGCTCCGGAATTTGGTTAATTCATTCGATGATGCTTGCAAATATGATATTGTTACATATTTTTATATTGCATGTAGAACTTGTACAGGTTTACAGTTAACTGTAAATAACACTAAACAAACGAATGTAAACAACATAAATTTAGAATCTATTGACAATTGTCAACTTTCGAATGTTGTCAATTCTCAGTGATCGCTTGTAGAAGTATTATGAACCGATTACAAAAATTCTACTACCATTATAATGCTACATTAACCCATTATGGTATACCTATATTTTAAAATAAATAATATTCAAAATATTTTAAAAATAAATCTACATGTGAGGCAGAATTAATAAACAAATTGATTCGTAAGTTTTTTTACCGATTTCAAATAAAAGAAATATCAGTTTACTGTATCTATGTAATATTCTTTGAATTTGCTAATATTTACGTAGGATAAGCTAGGCTAAAATTCGTGTTTGTCAATAAATTTCTCCGATTCTCAAACTCTATATAAAGACAAAGAGATGTTCTTGTTTGACTAAAATCAGGTACAATTTAAGAAACAGTTTATCAAAATCGGATAGCTTTCGAGACGAATATCATTTTTTAGAAAGGCATTATACATAATAACAATACCTACGTTAATAATGTTCATAGGTATTTGAACTAGGTTTATTTTTCTATATTACTTCTATGGATTGAACTTTCTGTTTTACGAACTTTTGCTTTTATTTTATAAACCATTCGATACAAAAGTTGTTTTGCCATTTAAAATTATTTCAGAATTAATAACGCTTTTTAAATTGGCGATTGGTGGTTGAAGAGGGAAAGCTTAGGGTTCTCTAGTTTAAAACCAAATCATACAAAATTATATAAAAAATTGCCCAAAAACTACCTCCTTGGGGTGGACCACTCCTATCCCTTAGGGGTATGAAAATAGTGTACGACCTCTCAGACCTACCGAATATACAAACATATCATATTATCAAGCTGTTTCGAAGGAAAAACACTGTAATTTTATATATGACTAGCTGTATGTATGTGTATGTAGCCCATTGTGATTGAATGGTTGGGAAACAAAACAAATAATATATTTCATATAAGTTTAATTTTGAAATACTTGTGGAAAAAAAAAAAAAAAAAACAAAAAAAAATACATAAAAACAATCCTTGATGCGCATTATATATATCACACTAAAATTGCAGTATTTAAAGCGTACACAACCCAACATAACATTTTGGACCGGGCAAACGTCGTTTTGCCATGTATATCATTTATAATAAAAAAATAGGGGTTGATCGTAGAGGGGTGAAAATTAGGGTTAATGTTGTATCATAAAAAAATAAAAAATAAAAATTTATCTAAAAATAAAAAAAAATATTAGGGGTGGACTACCCTTAACATTTAGGGAGATGAAAAATAGATGTTGTCCGATTCTCAGACATACCCAATATGCGCACAAAATTTCGTGAAAAAATGAAATGAAATGAAATGAAATGAAATAGTTTATTCTTGCAAGTAGGACTATATAAATCACTTTTACAATGTCTTCCTAAACTAGATGAAGTCGACATTTCCTAACTGACTGCCCTGAGAAGAAATGTCGAAACAAACTCGGGGTCTTAGTCTCTTTTATAGTCCAGATAATACAATAATAAATTAATAAGTTGGTGTAAACAAATGCAGAGTAATTTATGACTGGTCTTTGGAAGAAAGAACCAGATCGATCTGAGCAAGCCTGGCAGAGACGGCTAGCATGCCCCGAATAGCTCATGCACTCAACCATTTTTGAGGGAGCTGCACAACCCGGTACACAACAATACCGCCAGAGGCACCATAAAGATATGTGGGGAACAACTCACTCAGATCGCCAGCCCAAAAATAACTATAGACTAAAATGTATCAAATTATAAATCAAGCAAAAGAGTTTATGATATACCCATAATTTTAACTTACAATGGATACAAAATGTATATTTAAGGTGTACTTAAAGCAAGGAAAAATAATTAAATTGAAAAATATAATCGTAATATAAACATTATTACTTGGCATGTAAGTGTAAAATATTGTATGAAAAGCACAAAACATGTCAGTATTTAGAAAAAAAAAATAATATATAAGCACAAAACATTCATAATTAGAGAAAAAAATTAAAAAAATGAATATGCACTAAGCACAAACATGTCAATAGAATAAAATAAAATGCATATGCAAAAGCACAAGACATGTCAGATTGTAAATATGTACAACATGAAAAAAAAAAAAAAAAGAAGTGAAAGACAGCTTAAAAAAAACACAAGCGATAGCTGTATAAGCGAGCAGCTCAATCCCAGGGTTTCTATCATTTAAATAATGATATCCTGTAATATCCTTTAGTTAATAATTTTGATTTAATAAAAAAATTAAATTTTTAAGGGGAAGTTTACGAACATCCATAGGAAGTTTATTGTAAAAGCGTATACATTGACCCATGAAGAGTTGCTTATTTATGAAGGGAGTAGCATGAACTGTTAAATTATTTTTGTTCCTATATTTAGTGAAGATCAGACAATTTGACAAAATCCGTTCGTTTTTGTGAACATAAAGTAAATTTTCAAAAATATATTGTGAAGTTACAGTCAGAATTTTATCTCTTTGAATTTCTCTGGAGAGAAACTCTAGGACCTAATTATATATAGGGGACAGCTCTTTTTTGTAATAAGAAGATTGTATTAATATCCGCACAGTTTCCCAAAGGAGAATGCCGTACGTCATCAAGCTATGAAAATAACTGAAATAAACAATTCTGGCTGTATCCACATCAGTAATTTGTCTAATTTTCCTTAAGATAAGAGTGAACTGAGCCTTCCAGACAATTTGTTAATGTGTGGGCCCCACTGTAGTTTAGCTCAACAGTAATGCCAAGAAAAAAGTTGACTCAACATTCCAACTCTACTCCATTCATTGTACATTGGTGTTAATTCTCACATTAGGCGTAGAAAATTTTATTAATTTAGTTTTACTTGATTCAAAAGCAGATTATTAAATTAAACCAATGGACAACCTTAGATAGTGCCAAATTAACTTGTCAAAATTTTCAAGTTGACGCTTAACTTTAAAAACAAGGAAGTGTCATCCGCAAATAATAGATTTTTATATCCCTAAAAAAAGGTAAATCATTGATATAATAAGAATAAGAAAGGACCTAGAATTGAACCCTGGGAACACCCATATTAACAGATCCTTTTGATTTTTTGCCATTAATATCTACACTTTGTATTCTATTTTAAATATAACGAGAAGTCTAAGAGCCTTATTTCTAATGATAGTGGTGTAGTTTCTTGATAAGTGTGTATGGAAACACAGTCAAAAGCTTTGGACAAGTCAAGAATATGCTAAAGATCTGTGAATTCTCCCAAGCCTCGAATACATTTTTGAGTATTCCAACCTGCATCTGAGTAGACCGACCCTTAGTAAATCCAAATTGTTTGAGTGAAAAAGATTCTGTCTGTTAAAATGTTTAGCATTTGCTTTAAAATTATTTTCTCAAAAATTTTGCTAGTGTAGGCAAAATTGAGATAGGGCAAAATTGTAGGATCGTTGTATAGATTTGAAGAGTGGAATCACCTTGTTAACTTCATTAAGTCCGAAACAAAGATGCGACACAGAGTTGAACACAATTGAAAATGGGGAAATACATTAATTATTAGGATATTATTTGAACTACAACCCCAAAGATGTGGACTTTTTTACTTCCAAATCTTTAAATGCATCTAGAATGTCTTAGCATAAAACTGTAAATTAAAACTTGTCCCAATTTGAAAGTCTTTAAGTATTTTAAGGAAAACAAAAGTTTATAAAAATATAGAGAATCGGTCAAGTCGTTTCGGAGGAGTTTAACCACAAACACCGCGACACGAGAATTTTATATATTAGATTTGTAGCAATTGCAAATTGATATTTTATACCTATATGTAAATCTCCTGAATTAATTTTACAAATGTGTTAAACATACGTTTGTATTCCAAAGGGCTTACCCAAATACATACAACAGATCCATTGCTTCCAACCTGTCATACCTAGACCTTACTTTGCTAAATCCCATATAATTTATCAAACACGATATTAAATTCAACACTCTTGGTCGAATTATAAGTAGGAATGTATATTCAAATTCGTATCTTTCTATGGTTTTTTTTTGGACTACAAAATTAGGATAACTATAATAATATAAAAGCGGTGCCATCCCTATTATATGTGGAGACCAATTAAGTATTGGTATAAAAAAAAGTTTAACAACAAAAATGAAGAAATTGAAACTACTTTGCGAAACAAATTATAAAATAATTTAATTATTTGAATTAAGAATGAAATTATCTCAGTACAGTTTTTTGCCTAAATAACTGTAGCAGAGATACTTATAATTACTACCCTTTAATCATAATCTCGTCTTAAGATATGAAAAGGACTGTAAAATGTTCCATTGTACGCGTATAGACTTTTTACAAGAACTTGACGCTTTTGGGATTCGACAGCTGAGTCAAATTATCAAACATAGTTCAGTAAATGTTAATCTACTATCCTTATCTGATATGTCATAGTGATAAGGCTACATTGCAAATAAATTTCAGTTTATTTCTTAAAGAACGATAT